GCCCGGCCGCCGAGGGAGCTCGGCTAGAGCGCGGCGGCCTCTGGCGGGGGTCTGCCGGACGGGACGGGGCGCACGCCCACCAGAAGTGTAAGCCAGGCCCCGGAGGGGCCCGTGCATGTCTCAGCGTGGAACCGGCCAGCGGGGCTCCAGGGACAGGCGAGGGCGCGCGTCTCCCAAGGCCAGAGGGCAGACGGCCCCCAAGCCAGGGCCTCTGGGGGCGCTCGCCACCAGGACCGTTGCCCTAAGCCCCAGGCCAGCTGGGGCTTGGAGCGGTGGATCCCAGGGGGTGGCGGGCAGTGGCCAGGGCAGGGGCAGCTGGTCGGGAGGCACCAGGAGGCGCTGGACACAGCTCAGCCTGTGGCCGCGCCGGCACTGAGCGCCGGGCTCCCCCAGACTGGCCCGGGCCAGGCCTCTCCCGTTCTGTGGAAGGCCCCGCACGGCCGTGGGCCCGGGCTGTGGGCACCTCTGGAGGCCAGAGCCCTGGGCGCCCCGCAACCTGCCCCGCGCTGCGAGAGGAGGGGAGGCCCCACAGCGCCCCTTCCCAGGCGGCCCTGGGGCCGGGCACCGAAGGGTCTTTCTCACAGAGCCGGTGCCCCCGCCGCCCCGGGAGTGACCGGTGGGAGGTCACCTGGAGGTGCTGGCCAGACGCCACCACTGACACCCAAGGGAGCGTGTAACGGGGGCCCCAGGAAGGGGGGGTCCAGGCCCGACCCCACCCCGCCCCCGCCCTCCTGGGGCGCACGGGCAGCAGGAGGCGGAGCAGCAGGGGCAGCCCTGGCGCAGAGACCCCTGAGGGGCCTGGGAGGCCCACGCGGGTCCATCCGGTTCCCGTTGCTCCCCCAGACCAGCGCGCCCGTTTCTGGCCCTTCTCCACGCCCCGCCGGAGGGGCTCGGCCGGGCAGCTTCGGCCTTGCTCGGGGCCAGCCCGTCTGGCTGGACTTTACCCGGGGGGCGGGTGGCCCCCAGCCCGGCGGGCCGCTGCGGCCGCTGTCCGGCGTGGCCTGCTGGGCTGCAGCCCTCTCCGCGAACGGTCTCCCGCGCTTCATCTCACTGTGGGGAGGCAGAGCCTGCTCGGAGCGGGCGGTTTGGGGGTTCCGGGGCCTCCCCGCCGGTGACGGGCAGGGGCACTGCAGGGAAGCCGGGCGTGCTCAGCCCAGGGGGCAGGCCCAGGACACGGGAACGTGACGCCTTGCGCAGCCGGGCAGGCCGGGGCCCCTGCGCTGAGCCCCGGGGTCCGCGTGTAGCCGCTGGGCCTGGGGGTGACGGTCCCTGCCGGGGGCCCGGAGCTGCTGTGGGGACGCAGCCCTCCCCTGAGTCCCAGCACAGACGCTGGCGGCCGAGGAGGCGGCCGAGGCAGAGGCGGGCACGGGCCGGCGGGCCCAGACGAGCCCGCCAGGCTGAGCCCGGCAGTGTCTGCCCCGGCGGTCATCGCGTCCGGGCCTGGGCCCTGCTGCCCCGTCCTGCCCCTTTTACCTTCTGCCGGCTTTGCGCGCCCGGCCCCCGCCTCCCGACCCCCTGGGGCCCCGGGTCCCGCCCCCCACTGAGGAAGGCCGCGCGCCCAGGGCTCTCCCGGCCCGCAGTGACCTGCAGACGGAGGTGCCGCCTGAAGGGCGTGGCCGTCCCAAAGCTCGCCTGCGGGCAGTGGGTCTCGGGCCCGGGCGCGTGGGCGCTGGGTTGCCCAGACGCACAGGTGCCGTGCACCGCCCGGAAGGGCGGTGGGAGGCGAGCCCGGGGCGGGTGGGTGCGCTCACGCCGCGGGGGGCGGCCCGTGGCCTGGTCTTCGCCCTGGGCTCTGGCCTGTAGCACCAGCCTGGACCCAACGGGGGACGGGGTGGCCGTGCCGTCACAGACGGTGCCCAGACGCCACCGGAGGGCCCTGGGCACCAGAGGAGGCCGCGCAGGGACAGCGGTCCCAGAGGCTCCTCCAGCTGCACCTGACTGCCCCCGCGGGCCGGGCGCGGGCCGGGCCTCCTGCCCCTGCTGGGCCCTCAGCGTGTGCAGCGCTGGCCCCCTGGCCTCATGCGCCAGCGCCGACCCGCCGGCCCCACCCCGCTGCCCGGCAAGGCTGCAGCCCCCACCCTGCCCAAGAGACACGCCCACCGCCCCGGGAAGGAGGGGGCCAGGGAAGCCTCCAGGCCTCCCTGTCGGTACGTGGCCGCGACCCCCAGTCCTCGAAGCGCGTCCCTGGGAGCCCGGGCCTGAGCTCTCGTCTGGGCCCCGTCCTGTTGGTCAGGGTGCCCCGGCCTCGGCCGACCCCAGCCACTCTCCTAGTCTCACCCCAGATACGGTCACGTGTTAAACAGAGGACTTAAGGCCCGGACGGGAGCCCCCACCCCCAGCTCGGCCCCGATGGGAGCGGAGCCCCCTCCCCCTCCACGCTGACCCCCACCCCAGCCCGGGCCCAGCCGCCTGCTTCCTCTGAGCCGCCCTCAGCCGCCTCAGCCCTGGGCCCAGCACCTGGGGGCCCCCCGGGGCCCCCCCCCGGGTAGGGGGCCCTTTTCTCGCACTTCCCCTTCTCTCGCAGCCAGATGGGTGTGGGCCCTCTGGGCTTCTCGAGCCCCAAGGCCTGCGCCCGGCTGCTCAGGGTGGGCTTCCGCCCAGCTCTGCTGCTCTGGGGGTCACCCCCATGAGCCCCACCCCGGGGCCCCGCCGGGGACACCCCGGAGGCCAGCGCCGGCCAGAGCCCCCGCAGGCTGGCCGCGGCCTTGACCTGCCCCGTCTGGCCCGGGTCCGCGCCCTGCGCTGCCGTGAGCACAAGCCTCGGGGGCCGAGTTGTGCCCCCGGCTGCGCGGGGGGAGTCGGACCCCAGCACGTGTCTGCCCTGGAGGCGAGGCCTTGATGAGGTCGTGGGGTCGGGGCTCCCAGGGGGCGGGAGCAGGACCAGACTCCCAGGGCCCGTGAGGATCCGGCCGGGGGGGAGGCCTGGGGGCAGCAGGGGCCTGGCCCTCGCCCTGCGGCCCCAGGACAGATGGGAGCCGGCAGGGGTGCTGGAGGGCTCCTCCCGCAGCCCAGTTCGGGTCGGGGCCAGGACCCTGCAGGAACCTGCTCCCGTGAGCCCCAGTGTGGAGCCTGCTGAACAGCCCAGATGCCCTCCCCGCCAGAGGCAGCCCGGCCCACCCCGCGACCCACCGGCGGCAGTGGGGCGGCCCGCAGACATCACACCTGCCGCTGAGGCCTGCTGTGCTCTGCGGGGTGGCCCTCGCTCTGACCTCGCCAGCCTCAGCCCCAGAGCCTGCAGCGGTCCCTGCACCAGGTCCCCCGGGCCGGGCTGGGGGTGGCCGGGGGGGGGGGCCCTGCCCCTCCGCCCTCGGCCTGAGCTGTGACTCCGAGATGGGCGCGTTTGCACGTCCAGCTCCAGGAAGGTGCTGAGAAAGGGGCGGCGCCGGCCCGGCCCCCCCTGCAGCTGAAGTAAACAACCGTCCAGGGCCTGTCTCCCAGGGTGCTGGAGGAGGGAACACAAGGAGGCCGCCCAGGGCTGACTCACGGGGGCTGGGCAGAGGGCCGAGCTCAGCCACTGGCCCCTAGACGGTCCTCGGCCCCAAGGCGCCAAGGCCGGGGTCAGCAAGCACAGACCCAGCAGGGAGCAGCCGCCTGGGCCTGCTCACAGGCCCCAGGTGAAAGGCAAGGAGGTGGGGTGGGGCCTGGGGTCTCCTGTCCCTTCGGGATTCTCGTCAGAATCAGCTGGCCCAGGAGCGAGCCCCTCCCAGAGGGGGGCGGGGGGCGGGGGGCTCCCTGTCGGGCAGTCTCCGCCCCGCCCTGCAGCCTGCTGACCCCTGGGCCCGGTAGGTGACCTGCCCACCCCCTCTCACTCCGCAGTTCAGCGGCCTCTGCCCGCCCCTGACCTGCACCTGCCGGGGCCTCTCTGCCCTGACCCCTCGGCGGAGGCCGCGCTCCCAGGCCGCCCGCCTGGCCCACGCAGCCCCTCAGCAAGCCTGTCCCGCTGGGCAGCTCGCCCTGACCGGTGCCTGTGTGTGTCCAGCACTCCTGTCCTTCCCCGGTGACCCCGCTCCCCACATGCGCCAGGTGTGTCTGTCTCCCCCGGGAACTTGCCGCGTGCTGCTGAATGGGGAGCTCTGGGGACCCTCCCCAGGTGGACCCCGACCCGCACTGCCCCGAGCCCGCAACTCCGAAGCAAGGGCAGACGCACGCGCAGCAAGGGAGCAGCACCGCCGGTCAGTCCTCTTCCTCCACGGAGGCTTCGGTGCTGCCCGGGGGCCAACCCCGCCCCCTGCGGCCCGACGCCCCCCCCACCCCGTGCCAGGCTCCGTGTCAGAAGTTTGGATCAAGACGGGGAAGGGCCTTTGCCCTGTGCGTGTTCCGCCCCGCCGAGGCCCCGGGGCGTCTCTGGGGGACCCTGGGGCCTCTGGCCAGGCCTCTGCCCTCCCGGCCGGGTGCTGAGTGCCCGCTGGCCGGCTGGGCTCCGGCCGCCATGTGGAGCACCCCCCACGTCCCCCACCCCGCGCAGAGCCCCGCCCACCCCGCTGGCCAGCTCTGCCAGGCACCCCCAGACCGGGCAGGCTGAAGCTGGGGAGGCCCGGGAGCGCCACCTGGGGGCTGAGCCGGGCTCGGCGGGCCCTGTGGCCAGTCCGCTCCGGGCCCAGGAGAGACCGGGCAGCCAGAGGAGAGGGGAGCGAGGGCCAGGCGAGGGCCAGGCAGCTGAGGGCCTCCCAGGGCCTCACGCTGAGCTCCGTGGCTTGCCAGGCCGGCCGGCCGGCGGGGCCGCCTCTTCGGGTTGGACGCAGCCGCTGGCCCCCGGGACTCGCGTGTGGGAGCAGCGGCCGCAGGCCAGACAGCAACGCGCTGAGGGGCCCGCGGGAGACTCCGGTGCGGCATCCGGCGCTGCCGGGCATCAGCCGAGGCGGGACCGCGCCACAGAGCCCTCCCGGGCACAGCTCCAGGGCCGGCGGCCACTCGGGAAAAGCTGGCGCTACGGCAGGGCGGGCGGCGCGGCCATCTTCAGAGCAGGCCTAGAAGCTTCTAGAAACTAGCCCCGCTCTCCACGCGGGCCGGCCTGGCTCCGTCCTGCGGCCCCCACTCTGTTGGAAGGGCCCAGGTGTGCCCTGGGCGGGGCGGCGCGGTCCGGGCTGCCTGCCCACAGCAGCCCCTGGGCGCCGAGGTGGTGTGGCCGGGCCGGCTAGGCTGGGCCGCATGTGGCCCTCTCGCGCAGGCCTGGGGGGCGGGCAGGCAGGGAGCGCCCGGGCCAGCAGCGAGCTCGAGGCTTCAGTCCCGCAGTCACGAGCCCCTCACGCCACCCCACTGTGGCCTGGGCCTCGGCCCTGGGCTCCTCGCCCGGCAGACACCCCCACGGCGGCTCAGGCAGGACCTCTGGGGCCCAGGACGGTCAGGCCGTGGCCGGCGCTTCCGCTCAGTTTTCAGACCTCTAACAAGGACACATGCCCGGGCCTCTCTGGGTGCCGGGGTGCGGCGTCCATGAGGCTGCCGCAGCCGCTGAGGCCTGAGCTCCCCGCCCCCGGGCCAGGGAGGGACCCCGGGGCGCAGCAGACCCCCATCGCCCCGCTGCCCTCAGCAGTGGGGCTCAGTGGGTCAGCCTGTCCCGCTCCCCACTCTGCCCGGGTCTTCTCACTCCTGCACCCCTGGCCTGCGCCCCAGGTCTTGTGTGCATCAGTACATTAAGAGCGGAGGGACTTGAGCCGATGGAAGACGTCGCCGGGCTGAGGGGGGCTGGGGGCGCCTCTGCAGAGCTTCCTCACCGGGCTGCTGCTGTTTCCTGGGCCCCGCCCTGCTCGCCCTGCTGGCCAGTCGGCCTGCCCACCCGAGCGCTCTGCCCCGCTTCAGCACCACGGCCAGCTCTGCCCCTCCCCCCACACACCAGCGAGGGCAGCTGGGGGGACTGAGGCCCTGCACCGTAAGGGGGGTGGCGCAGTGACGGACCCTCAGCCCAGGGCGGCCCCGGGTGACCCGCCGTGTCCTCTGCTTGTCCACAAGAGGCGCCCGGCCAGCCCGACACCCCACACTCCCTGCCCGCCTGCTGACTCCCTCTGCTCTCGTCCCTGGCCAGGGACGGCCAGGCTGGACAGACTCGGGGTCCAGGAGAGCGCCTCCGGCTGTGGGGCGGACTTCCTGCGAGCCTGCAGGCGACAGGGCCGCGGGCGGGTGTGGGGGGCCCCCAATGGGGGCCTGACGGCTACGTGCCCTTTCCAGCGGCTGCGGGGGTCAGAGCGGGCGCTGCCAGCCCACGGGGCGCGCCCCTCCCCTTCCTGAAAACAAGAAATGTGGAGCCCCGACCTGGCGGCGCCGAAGAGTCCAGGTCGGGCGCCCCGGGGGGCGCCTTGCGGGGGGCCGAGACAAGCACACGGGTCATCCCTGCGTCCAGGCGCGAGAAGCGC